AATTTACCGTAACATGCACTTAACGCTACAAATTTAGGAGGGGCATGTCTTTGATTTTAAGTCATGACCAAATTATCATTTTTTTAAAAGAAAATTCTATGATTATGAATTTCAAATATATAATTTCTTTATGAATGCACTCAAAATAATACACAGTAACTCATCATGATATTCTCACCAAGTACAATAATTTAATAAAAATAATAATAACAATCAATGCACAATGAAGGACAGAATTTGCATATAATCAAAGCCTTTTTCTTTAAGGCTATGAACAGGCAATGCATAATTACTTATCATCAAAATGATTAAATTTCATTAACTTAACAAAGAAAGCTAAACAAAATATTTGTGTATGAGACACAAGAAAAAATTTCAACTTATGATATTTATCAAGATTTGACCTACTTTGAGAATCAACAATTTATAAATATATGCTCTACAAGAGCAATAATATAATATTTTTCAATGTATTGTAATGTCATAATTTGTGGTTACGAGCACCAAAAATAATTCTTCCTGGAATAACGAGGGAATAATCTAACATTCTTTTGAAATGTTGATTTTAAATTTATACTCTTTCAAGAGCAATAATATAATATTTACAATGAAATCTATAAATTTGTGATTTTTCAACAATAATCAAATAATATTCTCCAAGAATATTAATAAATATGGAATTTTGCTCCTTCCAAATCAACACAATATTTTTTAGAATATTGATTTGCATAAATTGATTCAAACGATTCAACAATATTCTTCTGAAATATTGAAACATTATAATCGTGTTTTGTTTTAGAACAATAATTGATTGTCCTTACAGTATATTAATTTAATATAAAAGTATACTTTTTATGGAGCAATATGTTTATATTCTTTTGAAATATTGATATTGTAATGCCATGTCCTTGGAGAGAAGTAATATTTCGCTTGAATATTAGCATAATATAATTTTTTTTTTTTAAAATCTTCATAATATTTTTCCATGACTATAAATTATGTTTCTCCAGGAAAGCACAATTAGAAACAAATTATATTCAAGAATATGATATGAAAAAATATTATACATTTTCAAGAGTAATAATACAATATTACTTTAAATATTATATGCATAATTTTGTGCTTCTTTAAAAGCAACAAAAGAATATAAATATATTATTTCATTTCAAGGAATACTACAATATTTTTTTGGATTATTGATTTATATTGTTTCCTTTCGAAAATAATATACAATATTCTTTTGAAATACTGCACAGAAATATTGAACGAAAAAAATTACATTTATGTAAATATTTGTTAATCATAAATTGGTATTATCAAATCTAATAATGATACAACTTTGTTAAACAATTTCAAGTTAAGATAATACTAATATTTTCTCAGAGCAAATTAAAAGAATTTATTTGTAAACTCAATTAGCTAGAACTTCTTGTCTTTCTTTGAGTGAAGGAAAAAAATTCTAACTTAACTAGATACAGATTTGAAAGTGAGAAAGGGAAATAAATTTTGCTAACTCCATTGATTAGAACTTCATATCGATAACATGTTATAAAAATAGGGAAAAAGTAAAAATAAAAATAAAAATAGAGAAGTTAATAGATTTTTATGTTTTATTAAGAACCAAAGCTCTATATTTATAGAGAAGAATTAGATATGCAATAATAATAAAAATCATGGTTGTAGGATTATAATAATCATTCACTAATAATTATATTATTTACAACAAAATTATCGACGAAAACTCAAAGAATTGTATGAATCAAAATAGAGGAGAGAAAGTTTAGT